CCGAGGTGAAGACCTCGGGCTAGACATCTCGGCTTAGCTTGCCACAGGCAGCTCGTCGCTTACAAGATAGCCCGGCACAGGGTAACTCACAGAAGGGTAGCTCGGCATATCACAGGAGGATCTCCTACCCGACCACCGTACCCGACAAATCTAGGGGCAGCAGCCATATCCCTCGTCAAACAACGTCGTGCCTGCCACCTTTAGAGGGTGCCTTACACCTGACAGGCACGTACCCAGCGGTGACGGTCCCACACGTGCCACCTCAGCCCAGCCAGTAACGACTGTGGCAAACTGACAGTGGCGGTTATACCTGCCCTGTCAGAGGCCGGTGGACCTGATACAACGGATTTCTGTTATAAGGAGCTAATATCAAGGGACGGAGGTATCATCTTCTACTCTCGCACTATCTGCACTCTTAGCCTTCATCTTCTCCTTGCTTCTCCTACAGAATACTAACTTAAGCATCGGAGTGTTCCCGTCAGGCAAGCCGTCGGGGATTCTTCTTCTTCTCCATCTCAGATACCTTCCAGGAGCCACGTAAGTGCCAGCTAGGAGTGACCGGATTGCACACCATCAGCTCCCTTTGCCATCCACTCCTCTCTCTCTCTCTCTCTCTCTCTCTCTAGAATACCCCTATTATGATTTAAGAATAAGAATGGTTGCCCTAATTGTAAGTTAGACCCTCACGGTTCAGTTGGGTTTATTAGAAACCGAATTGGTCTTTCGAAACCAAACTGAAATCAATAAGCTAATTGGTTCTTAATTCAACCTTTTGTTTTTTATTTATAATATATATTATCAATAAATATATAATTATATAATATAAATATTGCAGATAACTGTAATAGATTTATAGAAGTATTGCCACGGAATAATCGCAGTAGAAGGACTATTGACTCCATAGATGTCTGGTTAGTAATAATCGTGTGAGGAGGATCACTAACTCTCTTTGCAAAGGCCATTCATGGATACTCTTCATATTTAAACTTAAAACACAAATACCTTTCGTAGGACATAAGACAAAATAAATAAAGTAAAATGTGGTCTAAGAAGCAAATAGAGAAAAATACTATTTATACAACATATATTATTTAGGAGAATGATTGTTCAACACACCTTAAGAATTCTTAGCCCCATAGTACATTTGGGGTAGGTGTCAGCTTGAAATTGATGTTAATATACAAGCGAGTATTGGTGTTTTAGGGTGTGATGTAATGGTTTCTGGTCGTGTATCAAATTTTTGACTAAGTACCTTGTTAGCTTGTCTACTCCTAAGTGGCTTATGACTCAGGCCGAAGTGGAGCTCCCTAGTGTAACGCAACCCTTCTGCTCCCTACTGGAGATGATCTGGCTACCAACAGTGACGATAAATGAACTGGCTACTCCCTGAGGAACCTACGAGAACTAAATCAGAGAACACGGGGGTGTTTACCCGGCGATGTCACTCCGATGGCTAAGTCAGCACTTAGTAGTGAGCTGAGAATGATATTAGAAAATGAGAGAGCTAGAGAGTAGGGGTTACCTTCTCCTCTTTTTTGCATTCCTTCGCCCCTGGGGGGTGAGGTCTTTATATACTGGGGTTCTTGCGGGTTTGGTGGAGTAGTTTCTGGATTCCTGCTGTGATGGGACCTATTTTCGTGTTAGGTGGGGATAAATCCACCAACTGGTAAGGTTGCCCTTTTCCGCCTAAGTCGGAGAGTGGGTGAGCTAATATAGCTGTTACAAGTCACAATCCCGTAAAACGCAGGGTACAGTGGTGAGATCCTCGGGATTGTCAGGTTGGTGCGTGGGCCAGGCTGCCAGGTCGCGCCTATGCCAGGCCGCTAACTCGCGCTAGGGTTAGGCTGCCAGCTCGTGCCAAGGCCAGGTCGCGCCAGGGCCAGGCCACCAGGTCGCGCCTAGGCCAGGCCGCCAGGTCGCACCTGTGTCAGGCCACCAGCTCGCATTAGGGCCAGACTGCCAGCTTGTGCCAAGGCCAGGTCGTGCCAGGGTCAGGCCACCAGGTCGCGCTTGTGCCAAGCCGCGCCTGTGCCAAGCTATGCCTAGTGGGACACCATCAACTTAGCAAAGGCAAGTTGTTGCCAAACTGGTCCCGGGTGTCACCTAGTTGTTCTGAGGTGCCAGGCTACATGAGGGTGAGCTGCTTGTGGCAAGCTGCCTAGTTGTCAAGAGGCTGCACTTAGTTGTCATAAGGTGTCAGGTGTCATAATGTCATTGGAGGGCCAAATCTGCCCTCATCATTTGCCCCCCACTCCCGAGCTGAAAGTAATTCGGCGAAGGGAGTAGATTTTTCCTTTTGGCCCGTAATTCGACGAGCTCGTAAGCACTGATTCAGTTCCTTAGGTTCTGGGAGTCACTCGCAGTCCACTCCTGAACTTTGACCATGCCGAAGAGGTGACTGGGTCTTAAGTGCCCATGCCAAGAAGGCGACTGGGACTTGTGAAGTGCCGAGCTGCCTGTGAGGTGTCGAGCTAACCAGGTGTCGAGCTTCCTGTGAGGTGCCGGGCTGACCAGGTGCCGAGCTCTCTGCCAGTTTGGTACTTTAGCCCTTAGGCTTTGGGAGTGACTTATAGTCCACTCTCCTGGACTTGCCCATGCCGAAGAGGCGACTGAGTCTTATGCAGTATTGCAGTTCTTAGGCTTCGGGGAGCGACTCATAGTCCATTCCTGAACTTTGCCCATGCCGAAGAGGCGAATGGGTCTTATGCAACAGTACAACCCTTTAGGCTTTGGGAGCCACTCATAGTCCACTCTTGAACTTTGCCCATGCTGAAGAGGCGAATGGGTCTTATGCAGTAGTATAGCTCTTTAGGCTTTGGGAGTGACTCATATTCCACTCCTGAACTTTACCCATGCCGAAGAGGTGAATGGGTCTTATGCAGTAGTACAACCCTTTAGGTTTTGGGAGCGACTCATAATCCACTCATGAACTTTGCCCATGCCGAAGAGGCGAATGGGTCTTATGCAGTAGTACAACCCTTTAGGCTTTGGGAGCGACTCATAGTCCACTCCTGATTTTTGCCCATGTCGAAGAGGCGAATGGGTCTTATGCAGTAGTACATCCCTTAGGCTTTGGGAGCAACTCATAGTCCACTCCTGAACTTTGCCCATGCCGAAGAGGCAACTGGGTCTTGAGCGATGAAGAAGTCTTTTATTAGTCCGTCAGTTCGCGCCTGGGCCAGGCCGCCAGGTCGGCGTCCATGCTAGGTCGGCGCATGTGCCAGGCTGCCAGGCCGCACGCGGGCTGCGCCAGACCGTCAGGCCATGGGCAGGCCGTGCCAGGCTGCGCGCAGGCCGAGCCAGGTGGGCGCCTTAGAGCTATGAAGCGAGAGATTCAATTTCTAAAAAGGTGAGGACTTAGCTTTTTAGGAGAGGAGGACTTAGCTTTTTGTAAGATAAGAACTTAGCTTTTGTAGGATGAGAACTTAGCTTTTTGTAGCGTGTTCCCACAGACGGCGCCAATTTCTGGTTGTGTATCAATTTTTTGACTAAGAACCTCGTCAGCTCGTCTGCTCCCAAGTGGCCTATGACTCAGGCCGAAGTGGAGATCCCTAGCGTAGCGCAACCCTACTGCTCCATGGTGGAGATGATCTGACTACTAGCAGCGACGGGAACTGAACTGGCTGCTCCCTGCAGGCAATGATCTGCTCATCTTTGTATGCGGTGGGAGCTGAGGGACCTGCGAGAACTAAATCAGAGAACCCGGGGGGGGGGTGTTTACTCGGCAAGGTCACTCCAATGGCTAAGTCAGCTCTTAGTAGTGAGTTGAGAATGATATTAGAGAATGAGAGGGCTAGAGAGCAAGGGTTACCATCTCCTCTTTTTTGCATTCCTTCGCCCCTAGGGGCTGAGGTCTTTATATATTGGGGTCCTTGCGGGTTTGGTGGAGTAGTTCCTGGATTCCCGTTGTGATGAGACCTGTTTTCGTGTTAGGTGGGGATAAAACCACCAACTGGTAAGGTTGCCCATTTCCGCCTAAGTCGGGGAGTGGATGAGCTAATATAGTCGTTACAAGTCACAATCCTATAAAACGCAGGGTACGGTGGTGAGCTCCTCGAGGTTGTTAGGTTGGCGCGTGGGCCAGGCCATAAGGTCACACCAGGGCTAGGCTGCCAGCTCGTGCCTAGGCCCGGTCGTGCCAGGGTCAGGCCACTAGGTCGCGCCTGTGCCAGGCTACGCCTAGTGGGACACCATCAACTTAGCAAAGGTAAATTGTTGCCAAAGTAGTCCTGGGTGTCACGTAGTTGTTCTGAAGTGCCAGGCTACATGAGGGCAAGCTGCCTAGTTGTCAAGAGGCTGCACTTATTTGTCATAAGATGTCAGGTGTCATGATGTCATTAGAGGGCCAAATCCACCTTCATCAGGATGTATTTGTCATTTTGAATTACGTAAGATTATAGTGGAATTCAAAATTCTATAGGCTACGTGAGCCCTCTTTATGAAATGATCTTTCCCTTATACAAAGTGAGCCCTCTTTATTATAAGGCTACATTCGGTTTTTTCCGCGTTTGGAAAGAATGTATAATAATGATGAATGTCAAATTCCACTCCGGTCCAATTTTGTGCATGAGTAGAGTTTTATATCGTTAATCAATATCAAACCTCATCATATATAAAGTTTTACATCGGTAATACTACTATATTAATAATAAACTTTTATACCGATAACATTTTACACTGATTCCAAACACAACTATTTTATTAGTTTAAGCATTCCAATCCAGTCTCGTCCTTGATGCCACTGTAATTCCCAGTATCAAATATAAAATATATATAAATATATACACCTATCAATTCAATTAATCACCGGTTCTTCATATTGATTAACCAAACTGACCGGATTTTTTTATCGGTTCGATTCGATTTTCAGTTTTCGGTTTTTGATGAACACCTCTACACCAAACACTACAGAAAATGATCTTAAACGATCCTGTTTTACTTAAGCATGGCCTTAATTCACCACCTATTTACCACTTTTCTCCTCCCATCGACATCGAGTATACTCCCTGTTCCTACAAACCCTTTCTTACATCCAACATCTACAGGTCCTACACTACCTTTTCTTTCTGCGTGAGAAAGTGGAAGAACCAGAGAAGACAAAAATAATATTTGTTTCCTTCTCTTCTCAGTTCTCACTCCTCTCTCTCTCTCTCTCTAAGCTAACCGGATTCTAGAATGACAAGAAATTAATTGCGCTGCCTCCGATGCTGAAAGAACACCAACAACAGATTACAGAACAACCATTCTGTATCCTCTCATACTAACCTATTTTCGTCTCCAAGCCCGCTTTCTCAGGTCTAAAGTTCTAAACTATTTCTCTCTTACCACCCTCTTACTCTCTCTCCCTGCAACTATTGCCTAAACTGGCACCGTCACTACTCACTACGAGACTACCTCCATTTCACTTTTTGAACCAGAAACTTTTCTTTTTTAATTTTTTACCGGAAAATGAGATTTCTTGGTCTGAAATTTCTGCAAGAAGCAACCGTCTTTCTTTCTTTGTCTGAAACCTCTTTCAAGACAAATACAACTTCTATGAAAGCACAAACCCACTTGTGTCTTGTTGGCAATGAGATGGATTTCTCTAAAACCGCCATCTTTTGTGTTTTCTCCTAAAGCTATCACCCACCACTGCCATTTCATCTGAAAGCCTGAAGCTCACTTTTAGCTTGACTATAGAAGAAATGGGTTGCGCAACATCTAAGCTAGAGGGAGAACAGGAAGTCGTCAACCTCTGCAGGGAGAGGAAACGCCTTATGAAATCAGCGGTGGAGCGTCGTTTCGCCCTTGCTGAAGCGCATTGCAGATACCTTCACTCTCTCTGCGCCGTTGCGGCTGCGATTAGGCTGTTTGTTGCTCGCCATTCCTCTCCGCCTTCGCCGTTCCTCATAACTTTTCCTCCTGCCTGTCCTGCTTCTCCCCTCACCTCCACCCATAACGTAATCTCCAATCCCATGTTCCTCCAGCACCCACCATCTGAATCAACGCCGGAACCTGTCGCCTGTCAATGGGCGGATTCTTCGAGTTCTTCAGACTCTTCGGAGACGGGAAGGGAGGAGGGAGTGGGAAGAGAAGAACAAGAGGATGAACAAGACGTCTGCCAATACTTCTATACGGATGTGCCCCCGCCAATGCCATCCCCGAAGGGGGATTTTGGATGGGATTTTTTCAACCCTTTCGACGGAGTGAGAGCAGAGGTGCTTGGCGGATTCAGTCGGAGCTCCGATGAAGATTTGAAGGTGGTGAGGGAGGAGGAAGGGATACCAGAACTGGAAGAAGACGATGAAAGAGAAATAGGGAAAAGTAATGCAATGATGGTAGTAGAGGATGAGAAGCTTGGAGAGGAAAGCGGAGTTGAGATGGTTAATATAGCAGCCGGTGCAAATGTAAACCGGGAGGAGCAGATTGGGTTGACTGTGATCGACACTCCTAAAACGGGTAGGGAACTATTGGAAGCATTGAAGGATGTGGAGGACTATTTTATCAGGGCTTATGACTCTGGCAAGGATGTTTCCAGGATGCTGGAGACTAATAGAGTTCATCTGCAATCTGGTTTTGAGGAAATTAAAGGTGTTTTTCTTTTACACATAAGAAAGTGTTTTTCCCCATGTTTTCTATTCATTTACCTATCCTTGGACATATACCGTGAATCGATTATTGTTATTGAATTTTCTGCTGCAAAATTGCAAAGATCATTTTCTTTTTCTTTTTTAATTTACTGTACTGCACTTTTGTAACGAAATCTATTAACTGAAAGCTTGACCTTCATCCAGTGATTAGGAAAAAAAATGGAAGTTATAGGTTTTCCATTTAGTTCCTAATGTTCACCATCCTCTCTATCAATTATTTGTCTGAGTTCTAATCTGGGTATTCCTCCCTGAATTCAGGGAAGCATAAACTTATTCAATTAATATTTCTGTGGCTTATTCTGCCATCAGTTGTCTTGATTCACGATTTCACATTTTTATTAAATTCTGCTTAAAAGATGAAATAGAACTGTGGCTCATTTATTTATGCTTCTCGAACGCAGAGAACTCCACAAAAATCATCCAAGCTATTACATGGCACAGGTCCACTTCTTCTCAATCTTCGTCCTGCAAGAGTTTCCTTGCATCCAGTTCCAAAGGTTCTTCCACATGGACAGAGTTCAACAACGACCTCTTTGAAGACTATGGAGGAATGGAATCAGGGAGCCATTCACTGACGCTAGGAAGGCTATACGCTTGGGAGAAGAAACTGTATGAGGAAGTGAAGGTAAAAAGTTTTCAAGTATCCCTGTACCCACATGAAGTTTTGAACTCTTCTTCCACAGCCTATGATGGTGATTTGTTATCTGAAATCTTCCATTATAGCACAGCATCAATTCTCCTGTTATATGTTATTATTTATACTTTTATGTATACATACAACTATAAGTAACTCTCTTACCCAATTTAAGCAGGCTCAGCAGCATCAATCCTGTTCTCTCTCTTCTAGTTGTGGTCACATTCAATGTTGAAAATTCTCTTCCTCACTTCTTCAACTTAGGTTCTCTTTGAGATTCTTATCCTTTTAAGAGTCTCAGATGCAGGAAAACATTTTGAGTTTTGTCAATGAGCAGGATATTTCATGGTATTGCAGTATAGTTTTCACTGTTTGCATTGATGTTTCTACTTTCTACCAGTGAACTTGTACAACTGAAGAAAAAAGCAAATAGAATAATGTAACAACTCGCAAGTTTTTCATATTTTATATGAACTCTAATTTAATTCTCCAAGACAGTGTCCATAAAAAAAAATGGCTTTGGAGTTTTGATAGTCTGTGGAACTTTGATATATGGGGCATACTTGGATCTATGGTTCAGTTGTGCCACCTGGAGGTCCATGTCATGATTGACCTGATTTTGGCCATTCAGCAACTATGCTGCATGAAAGATAATTGCCTATGACTGTAGCAATATTGCATATAATTGTCTATGACTGTAACTCAGTAACTTTCTTTCCCTCTACAATAGCAATTCTTTATCGTCAAATGAGTACTAAACTGTTACTCCCTCTCTTAATTAGTCTCTTTCTTGCCTTTTTAGGCTGGTGAAAGCACGCAGAAACTTTATCAGCAAAAATGTGCACAACTGAGACGCCAGGATGCTAGGGGAGATGACCTACATTCTGTCGACAAAACCAGAGCTACAGTAAAAGACTTGTACACCAGGATTTTAGTTGCCATTAAGAGTGCTGAGTCGGTCTCAAACAGAATTCAGAAACTAAGAGATGAAGAGTTGCAGCCACAACTTGTTGAATTGCTACAAGGGTAAGGCAATAAAGTCTCAAACTTGTATTGTTCCTAGATCTTATGTGTAATTGTGGGTCCCCTTCCCTCCTCTTTTCCTTCTGCAGCTTAATGAAAACCTGGAAGATTATGTCAGCAGCTCATGAAACACAGAACCGGATAATGTTTGAAGTTGAATCTTTTACTTGCCCCACTTATGGAAAGTTCTGCAATGATTCTCATCGCCTTGCTACACTTCAGCTTGAAATTGAGCTTCAGAATTGGCACGAGTGCTTTACTGGGTACATAACCGCACAGAGAGCCTATGTTGAAGCTCTAGATGGGTGGCTGTCCAAGCTCATCATCCCTGAAGTGGAGTTCTATTCCAGGGGCAGGTCTTCTATACCACCATATCGTATTAGTGGCCCCCCATTGCTTGTCATCTGTCATAACTGGTTAACCTCCCTTGAGAAATTGCCTGATAGGGCAGTCACAGATGCCATGAAGAGCTTCAGAAAAGATATTAGAGCTCTGTGGGTTCAGCAAAGGGAGGAACAGCAGCAAAAGAGGAAGGTCGACAGCCTTTCTAAAGAACTTGACAGGAGGGTTGTTTCATTCCAGAAGGAAGAAAACAGAATTCTTCAGTTCAAGCTTTCAGAACAAAAAACCGACTCAGATGGCCAGCATCAGGTTGAATACTTGACAGAGAGGAGGAACCTGTTGAACACATTCAGGAAGAGGCTGGATGGAGAGAAGGCAAAACACCATAATTGTATGCAGGAGACACAGCGGATTACATTAAATGGGTTTCAGACTGGATTTTCATCGATTTTTGAATCACTTGCAGAATTCTCCAAAGCATCTCTAAGGATGTATGATGAGCTTGTGACGCAGGGTGCAAGGGCAGAAGTGGGAGATGGGTGTGAGAATACATCCTACCTAGAAGGTTCCCAAGTTGAAAACGATGGTGGATGACATGGAATTCCAGGAGATGGTTTCGAGTTCGAGGGCTCGAATTTTAAGGGTCTCGAGGATGTCAATGTGAAATTGTATATGTAACTCTCGTCAAAGCAGCTCGCTGAGACAACTTTATTTATGATAGGCTCTAGGAAGTTGCCTCTTTTGATTATTCATTGCCAAATAAGCTTTCTTCTTAGTTCTTTCTGACAATTTGTTTTCTACGAGATGTTTGACATCTCATTGCTGCGATTCCTCTTGGCCAAATGCAGTGAAGCTTTGTGGAGGGATTCAAATGAGCAATTTCCAATTTGTGCAAGTACTAAGGTTATGTTTGATTTGAAGGAAAAGGTAGGGAAACCTATACAAGTTTTGGTAAAGGTTTCCCTACTTTTTCATTCAAACCAAACACAGCCTAAAGGTCTGTTTGAGTCTCAGTGGAATCGAAATCAAAATCTTTCAGAATTGAAAATCGAATGGTTTATGTTCCATAGTATGTTTGGTTCAGACAAGAATTAAAAGGGGATTTGAAATAAGTTGGACTGGGATTTCATTCCCAAGAAGAGGGGGAGGGAATGGCCTATTCCACCTAACCAAATGGTTAGAATTGGAAAGACCCATTCCCATTCCGATTCCAAATTCCCTATTCCAACGAATCAAATGGAGCCTAAATATTAATTTGGTTTTTAATACAAGACTTAAAATTTGATACTGAGGTGTCGTCTGATTGCAACTCATCACATTGAATATTTACCTTGGTAGATTGCATTTGGCATTCCTTATTTTAAAGTCTTATCTCTTTTATGCAGTTAAAATATTTATCTAAATACTGAGTTTTTAACTATAAAAATGAGATTAATCCTTAAAATAAAGAATGACAAAACAAATGCAGCCTTAGTCTACAGAGAATCCTGGCTTTTCTGACAACCCACAGCCAAGACCAAGAGCACATCTCATGGACAAAAAGCGAAGACACTCGTGTGCAGTTTTAAACATTTTTGCCTGCCGCACGCGAGCCGGGAGGCACGAGCCTTTCGATAATGGCTCTATTTCCAGCCATCGGGTCTGATGGCCGAACCATGGCTCTATTTCTAGGTCTTTTCCTTTTTTTTAAACCTGGACTTTGGCAAAAAAAAAAAATTGTCAATTTGGTCAAAACTTGTTTGACCTAGGCTGTTAAGTATTGACCCATTTGACCTGCATTAGTTCACGGGCTATGCATTGCATATACATGCAAACTTCGAAGTCCCTAACTTTATACTCATTTGTTCAATCAAAGTGATCTTTATATTGAGTTCAGATAAGTTTTGAAGATACATGCGTTCCGAGGTGGAATGCATTTTGCCCAGCTAATTTTGTCAAAAAAAAAACCTTTTGGCATCATATTCTAATTTTTAGCTTTTATTTATTTATGAAAATAAAAATTGAATATATATTGATGACGTGTCATGTTCTGACCTATCCAACCTGAGAAATTGAAATCTAGAGGTAAAAACAATTCAGCCTCAGGTCTGTTTTTAAAATTAAAACATGGTCCTCCATCCATTATATTTTCACTAGAGAACAGCTCATGGATCCATGCATGGAGTTGATTGGAATATTATTTCCAATTCAATCTCTTTGTTTTAAAGCAGGGCTTCATAGAGGAATTCAGGCCCAATCAATTGGGTTATACCCGTCGGACTGAAAACACTCTCTCCAAGCATTGGGAACTAAGAGAATAAAAAAGAGAGAGATATATGAATAATGGTCGAATTGATTGTATTCGATTCTTCCTTGTTTATTTATATAGAGTACAAGAGATATACAATGGTAAGTTCTATCTGATTTAGGATAGGTTTAGATGTTATCCTATACAAAGGTAATCTACAGGGATAACTGTTACTAGGATAAGGGTTATCTACAAGTAGGATATATATAATAGGAGAAGAACTTAAAGTACAAGATGAAGTAGGAGTAATGGTTGGATACGTGCATGTGCCATGCACGTAATAACTATCACTTACACCCCCCTCAAGCACAGCCAAGAGAGAAACAATGAGATTGTGACGAAGAACCTCAAATTGTGGAAAACCAAGGGGCTTGGTGAGAACGTCTACTAATTAATCAACCGAGGGGATGTATCGTACATAAAAAAGCTTAGCCGCAACTTTTTCTCGTATGAAGTGAATATCCAACTCGATGTATTTAGAGCGAGAATGAGGTGCAGGATTATTAGCAAGAAATTTAGCCCCCATGTTGTYGCACCATATCAAAGGAGTTGCAAAGAGGGAGATATCTAATTCTTGGAGTAGCATGTGAAGCCACAAAACCTTAGCAGCCGCGGAAGCTAAACTGTGATATTCCGACTCAATGCTTGATCGAGCCACCGTGGGTTGCTTTTTGGAACTCCAAGAAATTAAATTAGAACTAATGAACACACAATAACCACTCCAAGAGCGATGATCCATGAGGCAACTTCCCCAATTAGCATCAAAGTAAGCAACAAAAGAAAATGTATGGCATGATTGAAGAAGCATACCATAAGTGATTGTTCCTTTTAGGTATTGAAGAATCCTTTATGCAGCAGCCCAGTGGACAGTAGTGGGAGTTTGCATGAATTGACATACCTTATTCACAACAAAGGCAATTTCTAGACAAGTAATAGTCACGTACTAGAGAGCACCAACAATACTGTTGAAGAAAGTAGGATCAGCGGGAGGTTTCCCTTCCGATTTTGTGAGCCGAGTGGAGGCAAACATAGGAGTGGAGAGAGGTTTGGCATCATGTAGTTGTGCTCGATGCAGAAGGTCATCAATATACTTGTTCTGAGATAGATGAACACAATTGGACGATCTGTGAAGTTCAATACCAAGAAAATAATGCGTAGAGCCCAAATCTCGAAGAGAAAACTGAGAAGCAAGATGCTGAATTAGAGTGCTAGTGGTAGATGAAGAAGATCTTGTGCTGATAATGTCGTCCACATAAACAAGAACTAAAATGATATCAAATTCAGAACGAAAGATAAATAGAGAGGCATCTGCTTGGGATTCGAGAAACCCTAGGGATAAAAGGGAACCATGTAAACCATGCACGAGGTGATTCATATATATCTCTTTTGAGAGGATCAATGGAGACGACAAACATGTGTTGGGAATCTGGGATCAACAAACCCAAATGGTTGCTTCATATATATCTCTTCTAAAATGTTACCATGTAAGAAGGCATTGCTAACATCCAATTGGCGAACATCCCAATTAAAGGAAACTACAAGTGATAATATTGTGTGAATTGTAGCTAGTTTAACCACAGGGCTGAATGTCTCATTATAATCAAGACCAGCTTCCTGAGAGTAGCCCTTGGCAACAAGATGGGCTTTGAAGAATTCAATCGGACCATCAGGCTTACATTTGATTTTAAAAACCCATTTGTTGCCAATAATATTTTTATTAGGTGGGGTCGGGACGAGAGTCCATATTTTATTATGAAGTAAAGCCCTATACTCATCAGCCATAGCAAGAACCCAACGAGGATCCTTATGATCCTAAGAATAACAAGTTGGTTCAGATGCGGAAAGGGAATTAGCAAGTAGGGCATACCTTAGATTTGGCTTGAAGATACCATGTCGAGCCCGAGTGGTCATGGGATGCAAAGAGGAGGAGGGCGGCAAGGCAGTCATTCAGCATTTGAAGGTGGTGATGCATCATACTGAGGCGAAGAGGGAGAAGATGAAACTTCACCTAGAAAAGTGTTGTCAGAAGCAGCAACAAGGGGAGGGGCCCCAACTGAAAGAAGTGGAGTCGATGATTGGGGTGGTGCAGTATTAGTGGCAATAAGAAACAGAAAAGAATCCTCATTACAAATAACATTGCAAGAAATAAAAATCCATCCCACAGAGTGATGCAAGCAAACATACCCCTTGTGAGAATTAGAATACCCAAGAAATACACATGAAAAAAAGCGAGGTTGTAACTTGTGCTTATTATATGGTCGAACATGTGGAAAACACTCACACCCAAAGGCATAAAGTTCGAGGTAGTCCAAAGGGCAACCAAATAATTTCTCAAATGGAGAGCATGATTCAAGCACCAAAGTAGGAAACCGATTAATGAGATAGGTTGCAGTGGAGAAGGACTCAAACCATATTTAGGAGGAACCCCAGCATGAGTCATAAGGGCAAGGCCTGTTTCAATAATATGGCAATGTTTGTGCTCAGCATGCCTATTTTGTGCCTGTGTATGCGAACATGATATTCGACGAGAGATACCCACATGATTGAAATAGGTTTCAAAAGTTTTGAATTCATAGCCACCATCACTTTGAAAATATTTAATTTTTAGTATCAAAAAGTAATTCAACATTGGCTTTAAATTTAAAGAATGCATTCAATGATTCAGATTTGCAAGTATGAGGAAATATCCAACTATAGCGACTGAAATCATCAACAAAAAGAATGTAGTAACGATATCAGAAGCAAATGTCACTAGAGAGGATCCCCATAAATCACAATGAATTAATTCTTAGGGAGAATTACTAATGGCATGATTCTGGGAAAAGGGAAGTACATGACTCTTAACTATTGAGCAAGCTGAACAAAAATTTAAATCAATACTAGGAACTACTAATAAATGCTGAGAAGAAATAATTTGTTCAGTCATTCTAAGAATAGGGTAATCTAGTCGGTGGTGCCAAATCAAAGGATTGGCATGAGTACCTACAAATGCAGAAGGAGAAGAAGTTGATATCTTGAGTGGAATACGAAGTTGATACAAACCATCCTTATTCGGCCCTTGAAGAAGTATCATCTTGGTGCATTGATTCTTCACAAAGAATTCATGAGAATGAAATTCAAAACAGACATTATTATCAGCAGAAAACCGGACCACGGATAAGAGATTGAAGGAGATCCGGGGAACATGAAGAATATTATTCATAATCAATGATCTGGAAGATAAAGTAGAAACATTAGAAGACCTAGAATGAGCAATCGGCAAAGCTGAACCATCACCATTAGAGACACGATCAAAACCATCATAGTCAGTGCATTTGTAGTTTATTCAAATCCGAAGTGAGGTGATGTGTCACACCAGAATCAGAAAACCAAACATCTGTATTCTGCTTGTCACATCCTAATGCAGCCATAAACGCCAGAGGTTGGGGTTGTTTAGGGTTCTTCAAACTGTCAATATGTGCAAGGAGTTTTTGACATTACCTAGCAAAATGATTTCGTCCTCCACAAATTTAGCAGGGATTATTGCTATATTTGGAGGGCTTAGAGGATCCATTACCCGTTTGTGGTAAATCAATTTTTTATATTTTTTGGAATCCTTTCCTTTAGAGGCAAGATTCGCAGAAGGGGAGCTAGCCTGTGTAGATACAGTTACTGAATGAAGCAAACGATTTTCATGAGTGAGAAGCATACCTTGTAACCTAGCAAATGATAACTCATCTGTTCGAGTAATAATTGTTGTAGAGAAAGCATCATGGTCTGGACCAAGGCCATTGAGGGCATGATGAATTAATTGCGAATTTGTTAGGGGCTCACCGATTGCAGCTAGCTTGTCACTAAATACTTTGAGTTTTTGCAGATAATCACTCATGGGGAGATCATTTTTTGCAATGCTCCAAATTCATTCCTGAGACCAACGACACTAGCTGTTCCTCGGGGGGAATAAATATTCTCAAGGGTTACCCAAACATCTTTGCTTCCTACGACCTATGCCAATGCTATTTCTGTTAGAGAGGATAGAAGCCAGCTAAAGATGTAATGATCCTACTTGACCCATTGTGTATAGGGTTCTATCATCGAACGAGATGGAAAAGGGATAGTCCCATCGATATGACTGAGGAACTCATGGATCAGAAGGACATTCTCAACTTGAAAACGCCATAAGATGTAGTTGGATCCATCCAACTGAATCGAAATCAATTGAGGAATATGATTCCCCGATGCTCCGAATTTAATTGGTTGATCGAATTGGTAGACATAGTGGAAGACATGATGGAAGTCTGGAATTGACTACTTATGACTCTGATACCATACGAGAATAACAAAGAGAGAGAGCGAGAGATATGAATAATGGTCGAATTGATTGTATTCGACTCTTCCTTGTTTATTTATATAGAGTACAAGAATGAGATATACAATGGTAAATTCTATCTAATCTAAGACAAGTTTAGATGTAATCCTATTTAGGATAAGACTTATCTTACAAGGATAAGTGTTATCCTTTACAAAGATAATCTACAGGGATAACTATTATTGGGTAAGGGTTATCTACAAGTTGGATATATACAGTAGGAGAAGAACTTAAAGTACAAGATGACGTAGGAGTCCTAATTGGATACATGCATGCATCATGCACCTGAACACATGCATATGCCATGCACGTAATAGCTACCGCTTACAGGAACATCTCCCGTGCATAACATGTATGTTCCCATATGGCTGCAATGTTATGTGGGTAAAGTTGTAGTGGGTAAGAAATGAGGACTAAAATGACTAGGTGACGACTGTCACACACGATCAATATTAAGAAAAAAAATAGTTTCTGCACATACAAAAATGACAAACATCTCCTAAATGGATTGAGATCCACATTTAGTTGCTTGCCATTTGTTTTTAGTGAAAGAAATATGAGCAAGTTTACCTTTAAAGCCTGTTTGTTGATTCTTAACGCTGAGTGCTGAAAATCATTCACGCGTTTTCAAAGGCAATCAGGGTATTCGGGTTCAATTTTTTCAATTCAACCTTAAGGCTATGTTTGGTTTAAAGGAAAAGGTAGGGAAACTTATACAGGGTTTGTAAAGGTTTCCCTGCCTTTCCCTACTATTTCCTTCAAACCAAACACAGCCTAAATGTCTCATCATCCTTTCTTTACCAATTATTGTAATTTTTGTTAGAACTTCCTTCTGCAGACGCTATAATTTGAAATATATACCTGAAATTCCGCGGTCCTATCCGGAATCTGATCCGATTAATTTTCTCAGATTCAGATTGTGTTAACGTAATCTGATCGGATTCGGTTTGACTCCATCTGTTCTGATTAAAATCCGAATCCTATTATAGTATAATATACATATTATATATATATATATATTATAATAAGATATATATAATAAATTTAGTATGTTATGTTTACATTAACTTATATATAAAAGTTGAAAAGTAATTAACTTTTTTTGTATTTTAAAAATTAAAGCAGAGTCAGATTAAATCCGAATCCAGTTTGGGTTAATTAGGATTCAGATTCAAACCCAAGGTCTTTAAATTTGATCAGGTTACGGATTTTGCTGAATCCGATCTATTTACAGCCATAGTAACGTATAAACTATTATTATTTTATTAATTGTCTTTTTATTATTTTATTTAGTAATATTTATTTTATTATTCATTAAATTATTTAATACTTCATTATTTTAATTAACTAATTAATTATGAAGTACATAATTGTTAATTATTAACTAACTAATTAATAATTATATAATTATTTATTTTAAATATTTATTAACTAATTAATAATTGCTCAATTCTTTAAAATATTTAATTATTTATAATTTTTATCATTTCTATTATTTATAAATTATTTGATATTCATTTTATAGTTATTAATTAGTTAGTTAAATAATTAAACAAACTTCTCATATCTAATGTTAAAATGTTGTCATTTTTTAGAACTCAGCATTCAGATTTCAAAGTAATATTCTTTAGATTCAGACTTCAGAAGCAAGAAAGTTCACCAACTCCAATACACCTCTAAAAATAATTATTACAATTTCAGAAGCATTCAGAGGTTAGACTTCAATGCAAATGAACAGACCAATCATACTGTTATTGTCTACAAGAGTGGTGCCAAAGGAAGCCCTTATCCTTACCATTTTAATACAAAGATTGTTAGATAGTACAAATTTCCTCATATCTAATTGATAATAAAAATAGGTACAATAGATAAAAATATATAATTTTCCCAAGAATTTCTCCTTTCCAATAAATTGTCTGGATTAAGATCAGGTGGCATTGTCTCTGAGTTTCTGTTCCTAGTTTCAGTGCTTGAGGTTGCTAAAATGAATAAAAATGGCATATAAGTTACAGAAATCCATTGGCATATTTAGAGCAAAATCTATGAAACATGGAAGCTTTCTTACATTTTTTTTTCTGTATTCTGCAATGATAATACATTCCAAGAACGAACAACATTTATAGGACTGAACCAGTTTATACACTACTCAGCAGTTAAAACAATAATTAGAACTACCTTAGGTATAGGGAGACCAAAAATTGAGACAAGAGTATGAATTCACCTACTACCACTGCAGGAGAATGTATGCCAAAAAAAGGAACAATGTCTACCTGCAACCAGTTCTCAACTACAGATCCCACTGCTGCACCAATGACAAGGCCTCCAATAGTCATCACAGCTGCCTTTCCTGCAAAAAACATGGTTAACAATCCTCAGAGGCATTCATCTCAGCTGGTCCTGCATGGTTGTGTGTGATAATGAAGCAAGACAGATTGAAATGCATCCTATATTTATAAGATTGCAAGCAGAAATAGAATTTATGCATGAAATGAGGCTTACACACACATGTGCATGCATGTGTGGGAGAGAGAGAGAGAGATCACATAAATTGATTCAACTAGACTAATCCTTACCCAATCTATTTGGGACAAGCCATATGAATCCTATACTTCAATTGCATTATGCTAGAGACCATGAACCCAGGACCCTAGTAGCAACGGTAAATCATTGCTCTCTAAATCCATCTGAGATTGGTCTCTCTCGATATCTCAGCATCTCTCATCTCTCCCCCCCCCCTCTCCCTCCCCCCCACGGCTAGAAGAAGAGAGGCTCCACCCCCATCACCACCTTTTCCTTTCTCACTTACCTCTTTCAAAGGGCAGACCGAAGTTGGTTTGAGCTGCTTCCATTTTGCTAATTTGCTTAGGTTCGTTATGACCCCAAGCAGTAATGAGCTTGACTTATTGCAGTCCTACTGACAAAAATTAATGATGTACTAACATGGTCTGCTCCTACCAGAAGTGATCATGAAGCCCTGAATGTTACAATTGTACCACTAGTAATATAAGATACGAAGACTTGTAACTTCAATTCTGACACATCCAAGTCATTAAGATCTGAAACATCTGTCAATCAATCCAAGTGAAAGCTTTCAAAGCAAATAATGTTTATATCTATACTAACACAAACTGATGTAAGAACACAAGACCATAACTATTTCTTTTTAGTTCATTTTAAAAGTATGTCATTCTGGTGATCTAGTCACTTACACATGCACAGATCAACAACCCATGGAGGTATCAGTTCCTTTGGATCCTAACAAAATCCATGCATAAGAGTGCTAAAAAAATGCTAATGGCTCCATACCTAGGTTGATGTTTTTCTTTGTCAAGAAGTATAATGAAGCTCCAATGCTTGTAGCTAAGATGAACCCTGGCACATCAGGTCCAGAGTATGGACTTGATGATGTTGAGGCTCCGTTCACAAATGTTAATACCATAAATGCTCCATATACCCCTGCTTGTACACCTAAGCTGCCTGTAGGTAGTGTTTCAACTGAAATCGGCACGTTCTTAACTGTAGTTTGTAGCCACTGAGGCATTGATTCCATTGCTGGTCCCTTTACAGGTTTGACATCAGCATAGCGTATGCTACGATTTGTAACCTTTCCTGCCTGACGCTGTGTTAAGCTCTGCATAAGCAACATATCATATGCAGCTTCTACCTGAAACACAAACAATAACACAACTTCCATGAATGAAATGATCAACTCTTGGACATTATGGACAAGCTATTAATGGCATGATGAAGAAACTTGCAGTTGATGAGCAGAACAATCATTGGACACCAAAGTCTAATCACTATTTGTACTAAGAACAACGTCCAATCGGTTTCTAAAATACCTGTAAATCTAATGAAAGAGGATCGTGATGACTGTAAACAAGATGATTGGAGGGGTTAATTAAGTCATTTAGATGACCACGTAACCAGAAAACGTCACATGGATAACATGATTGGGGGAGAGTCAACGATTCAATGGGATCCATCTATGACATAACTTTTTTGTAGGGTTCTGATTTATGATGCATGAAAAGATATATTCTAGTATAAAGGTACACAATTCTGTCATGGCTATTCTGACAGGACTACTGATGCAAAGTTGATCACTAATTACCATTTGAGATTATGTTTTTGAGAATTGTTTGGGGGAAATGAATCTTAGGGTTAAGTTATGATTATACAGTGCCCTTTGAACAATGAGACAAGTAACTTCCCAAACATATTCACTTTTAATTGATCAGTTGTATAGGAAGGAAGCACTACCAGCGCCCCAGATTGAATTGCCAAAGGCTGGGTTTGGGAGTTGGTATAGAATTGGTTAGACTTTTTTTTTGGTCAAATAGGTCTCCTAGGTCCATTAACTGAACTGACAAGACCATTCATGACTTTGAAATTTATTTAAAGTATTACTGTAGTATGGTAATCCCTAAAATAAGGTCATCTAAAACTTCCACGTTCTCAACTTACATATAATGGGTAAGAAAATTGATTGGCTAGCTAAATGAAGAACCACTGAAGTACTACTTAGCATGGAAATCTGTAATATGAAATATCTAAGCATTTCTTGCTAATCAGATGGTTTATTGAAGGTAATTATCGAGATTCATTGTAAGTAGTTGAGTAAAGTGATGAAGAAAAGGGGGAAAGAAAGAAGGTCTGAGAATACAAAAGGATAAAGAAGCAGGCAGTAAGATTAAGAAGGGTAGATCAACGGGAAATAAAAGGGGAACTGCACCATTGATGTTGCCAATTCTCTATCTCCAAATTGATGGTGGACAGTTAATATGTTTAACAAGGTCCATGCCCGCATGGATAACATAGTTTGTCTGGTCTTTATTTTAGTGCCTGAAGTTGTTTGAGTCATTGGGTTTAGTAAATTATATGCACATGCATAACAGGACTGCTCAACCCCAGAGGAACCTTTATTTATGTTGTTTGGCATTGTTTTGACTTTTGAGTAGTGACGAATGGAATTGAGATCAATTGATCTTGTGGAGCTCTCTTTCCCCATCCCCTTCCCTCCAACCCTCACCCTATAGAGAGGATGTACACTTTTTTCCTTTCTCTCTCTTGTTTTACATTGGACTTATACTTTGATATCTTCAAGTAATTAATTTTTTTTGAAAATTTCAGCACTTGATGACTCCTAGCCAATTGAACCAACCATAATACATATAGAAATTAGAGTGATTGTACCACTAGATAGGAGATCTCCCCCGGCCTCTGTTGCAACTGCTTCTTTTTACAAGTAAATGGTAAGAGATTCTCTCAGCAAAAACACGTACTAGTATGCTTTATCTTGTACATGAGAAGAAAGAGAATGAGCAAGACACCTTCTACCCCATGCATTGTATCCCTTGTCAAATCTCAAAATTACCATAAAAAACAATGCCCTTCCAATAATTACACAAATTCTGTCATTTGAAGCTTTCTATGCTCTTGTAGCATTGCACCCAAAAGATAATAGCCCTCTTGATCCTGCCTATGATTACTACTTTCGGTTGTTCTGAATTCTCAAATATTTTGCTATTGTGTTCTTTCCAAAGGATCCAACATAAATCCAATAGCACTAGCTTCCACAACACTTTGCCCCTCTTGTTTAGACCCCCTACCTGTTTCAACTGTTTTTAGTTCTTTCAAGTTCTCTCTCAGTAGAAATTTTTCAACAGTAATCTTTTTGTCTCTACTTAAACTATTATAAACCGTAATCCTGCCTGCTACACAGCATGTGAGAAAAATACATGGGCCCCACACTGAGAGGTTGAATGGTTGTGGGTCCCATGTATTTTATGACTGGTGTGGAGTGTTATCATTGGCTCCACAGCCTGTTGAACAGCTATTGTGTTCAGCTAATCCTATCTCCAGTCCAGCAGTAGCACCCATCTACAAACCTAACTTTGTTAGGTCAAGAAAAGTGACATTGAAATCAAATAGACTGAAGATGAAGTATTTTTTTTTCTGTTTTTTTGGCAATCATATATTAATTAAACATGAAAGAATGGGGGCAGTACTGGTAATATAAAAATTGTGTATAGTTGGTATTTGGACTAAGGATTCAGTATATATGCAAAACATTAGGAGTATTAATGTCATTGCACAATTGTCATTCAGAGTTTCTTCGTTTGAGTTCTGACTAGAGGGGTGATTGTAATCTTAGAAGCATGGGCTGGGTATCTGTTATTGTTCGAAACCTCAGGGAGGGAATTTACCCTTTTCATGTTTGTATGAATTTTGACAGATTATTTGTCTAGTCGCTTATTTGGAGATACAACAAAATATTATTAACTGGTATTGTTACAATGTCAGTTTAACCTTGTACGCTAATCAGACTTTAAGACAAATGTTATGTTTTAGTTTGTTATCACCATGCTGTTAATCATCACTTACTTATTTTGCTCTTGATATTCCATTTGTTGGATAACCATAATAGAATGCATCTTGATTATGAAATATTGCTAGTTTGCTTACTTCAAACTTGCACATTTACCATTAATGTACAAAGTTCACTGTACTGCACTGAAGATTATTTGAAAAACTTGAGCCCTAAGGTTTTGAAACCTGAAGTAATGACCAATAAGAACTGTCCCTTCATCTCCATCTCCCTCCCCCTCCACACACCCACATGCTAGAAGTTCCATTGAGCATTCCCTCCATATCTGAAAACCACTAGAAGCTCACTTTATTGGCATATGGTACCACGGTCTTAATGTCTGAGTTGAGTTCACTCTAAAAAAGTCCATGAAACATTTTTTCTGAATAATACCAACATATTATTTCTTGAATAAACATAAATTCTTTTGCTTTAAATGATCCATCAGGTTGCATGTCCTATAGGAAAATTTAACTGCTAAAAGAGAAGATAGCAAAAGGAGAACTGAAGAAGTATTCCATAGAAGATTAAAAGCCTTAAGAATGCACAAGTAACCATGGGAAAATAACATGAAAAATGAAAGACGGTTCTACAAAGTAAAACAATAAGTATAACGTCATGATCTCTTTCCTAAACATTTGTTCTACTTCTTTTCTCTCTTTAAATATATTAATTTTCTCTTATTTTTTATATTCAGTGGTGGTTGCTGGCCGTAATGTAACTGTGATTTGATATGGTAATAAGCTAGAAAATGTCAAATTATATTCTGTAGATTGATAGCGAGCTAAAGAGCTTCTGCAATTATAGATTGAACAATGACGATTTAGCTTCTTACTAAAAAAGATGACTAGGCTCAAACCCCGAACAGATTCCCGGGTTTTTAAGTAACCTCTCCCTCAAATTCTCCCTGAATCGGACATGATTCTTTTCCCCACCTAATCCAAAAGCCAAACACATTAATTGAGCTTTGAATAAGCAATCCGGATCGAAAATTCACCAGCCAGGCATGGAATTCTAATTTTTCTACGGAATGTAGAGCTCAAGCAGATCATCAAGTCTCCTTATAACCAAACCCAGGTTATAAATTTCAGTAAAAGCAAGACAGAAAAAATAAATAAATAAAACAAAACCGAATTGAACAAAACTAAAGATCATCCCAGCAACTTTTATGATTCTGATTCACGCAAAAAATTGACAGAGGAGCGTAGGACAAGAACCTGGGCCACAGTCTTCTGGTCGTCCTTACAGGAAGCGAGGATAGAATTCTTAGCGCGAAGGATGTCGTCAAAGGAGGCCCCTTCGGAAACACCAAGCAGCTTCAGAGCATTCTCCACAGACATCTCGAAAGGAGCGGAGTCGTCGGCTCTGGAAGAGGCTAGGACGATACTGGAGGGCCTGGTTAATGTGCACCGGGATGGCAGGACCACACCCCAGCAACGGTTGTTGTTAGTCATCCCCAGCTGCGCTGTCCGACGATACAACAATGCTCCAGCCCAGACCATCCTCACCGGTTTACTGTAAACGATAGCTCGGTCGGATCCGACGCAAAGAGCAGCAGCCATTTTGTTCATCTCTCTCTCTCTCTCTGTTCAGTTTTTCTTCTTTTCTCTCTCTGTTGCCTTCTTTCCAACCATAAACATGTTATTCTCGAATCTAGACCCCATGAGTTGGTTAGTCTATACTCTGAAGGAAAGAGGAGAGGCGAAAATAATCTGCTACGCCCGTTGGGCTAAAACCATGAATCACGCAATCATAGCCCCTGATTGTATTGTTGTGACCCCACCTTGAATTAGATGAAGTGACGCTAATCATTTAACTATATCAGTTAGTCTGATTTTTAGCCATACGATCGTAAGGAAAACCTTTCCTCGTTAATGCAGACGTGGCCTTTCAGAATGGACACGGACCGCGCCTCACACCGACCTCACAGTATCTATTGATGTGATTTAATGATCTTCGTGCTGACACGTTGGTTGTGCAAATTCTTATTCCACCGTTAAGATCGATCATTCATTTACTGGTGAGGCGAGATGCATGTGGGCTGGGTTTGGCCGTTTGGGCTGGGCCCTGGGCGAGCTGGGATTATAAGCCTTGGGCAATTGGGCTGGCCGATTTTAGTGAGAAGTGAAGTGCTCTAAAGTCTAAACCTGATGATCCAAAATTCGAATTCACATCTGCTCCACAGAACGGGCCCCGAAAACGTCCCACATCACATCCCAACCGAGTTGGGTTGGGTGGGTCGTGCTCGAGTTGGTCAAGACACTTCGGATTGATTATGGATTAGATTGAATTTCGAGTTGAGTTGTCAAATGCTAGACCCTAATTCTAAATATTTGGGTTAAGGTTGATCCATGGGTATTCAGATTATCCTAAAAAATAACTGAAATTAAAAAAAAAATAAAAAAACTACATGAAAATGCCAAAATTTAAAGAATTAACCTTAAAATTCTAAATATAAAATAAAAAACTTAAACATTTAACAATTTAAAAAATAAACAATAAAGACTAAAGATTAAATAGAAAAAATTAAAGAGTAAAAACTTTTAGCAATGCATAAATAGTCCCAATTAAACTTGACAATTGGGTCAGCGGGTTGCTCATGACCCAACCCAACCCAATTCAGTTTTTTTCCGGATTGGATTGGGTTGGGTCATTCTCACATTCAGATAGCTAAATATGAGACCCTAACCCTGTTTTTTCGGGTTGGGTTGGGTCGGATTCGCGAGTTGCGTCAACCTTTTGCCAGGTCTACTCAAAACCCTCAAATTCAACTTCTCGCCTGAACGTAACTCTTCTCTCTTCCAAAGCCAAAACCTCCTCATCGACTGCCTTCCTCTCTCTGGCGGCAATTAAGAAATGATGGATCAACATCCTTTGAGAGAAAAGCGATAGCTTCACCTTTGTTCTCACTCTTTTTTCTTTTTTTCTGGTAGAAACTTTCACTCTGTTTTCTGGGTCTTGAAGAAATTCAAAAAAAAAAAACGATTGCCCTTTTTCCTGTTGAAACCAAGGAGGGAAGTAAAACATATCCACCCCGATAAATTGGTTTTATTCAAAACCAAAGACATGCCCCTTTCTAATTTTATAAGAAATAATAAATATCTCATAGCAGGCCTAATGAGATGAGCTTAGAGAAAAAGTCGTCTCCTCCTTTTCTCTAGTTCTGATACTGCCACAAGTGAGAACAAAAAACAAGGCCACAGAGAATCATAGGTAGAATTCGCAGAAGATTGAATGAGTGAGCGATCAAAGCAACAGAGGAAAATGAAAGAGTAAATTGAGAGAGAGAGATGGATAGGGTGTTCTTAGTGGATGATACTTCCAACCAATTTTGGCCACCACCACCGGTAGTGCTGCCGCCACCGCCTACTAATTCACTGATGGTGGAACAAGGGGAGGATTTTAAGATGAACCGGAGCTCGTCCGAATAGGCTTTTCAGAGGTTTCGTCATGAGGCTTCTTCAGTTGCCACAACTTCTCCACCTTCTGCTAGCTTCTTAGGTTTCTTCGCCTTTCTCTTCTCCCAAAATTTCGGAAAGGCAGGGAGAGGAAGGCAGTCAATGGGGCATAGGGTTTTGTCTCTGGAAGAGAGACGAATTATGTTCGGGCGAGAAGGGAGAATACAACGTAATAGTTGAATTTGGGGGTTTTGAAGGGCCAACGGGATGAATTGTCCATCGCACATGTGTTCTTTAGGCACGAGCCAAAGAACACGTGGCACTTTTAAGTTGTGTGAGGACAGTTTGAGGAGCCATGATGTCAGGAGCAAATCCGAACTTCGTGTATTGGGAACATCTCCCAATGACAAATACAGGAGATGTTTTCAATGCACGTTGAGATGTGCATGTGGAACGTTTTTAAGGCTGAGGGCAGATGTGAACTCCCAAAATTCCCAATTAGAATGGAATATTCCTAACTCGAAAAGATTTTGGATCGGGACGGATTAGGTTACAGGTCACCTCGTATTTCAAATTGACATTGACCTCGATGGTTGAATTATTCAAACTGAATGGTTAAATTCGTATTTTTTGATAAAAAAATGTTGACTTAATCAAATATAGGTTGATTCGGGTGGTTGAGCCATTAGTCCATTTATCAACTCAAATTTAAATATTTAGGGTTATGGTCCAACTTTTATCGACCCAACCTGAATCACCTTAACCCAAATTAAACCCAATTCAAACTGGCCTGATTGCCAAGTCTTCATATTTGAAGTATTGAACCACAAATTGTTTGGTTGTAGGGGAGGTTTATTGAATGGTTGTCAACTCCTTAATGGGCGAAGCTAAAATTATGTAGATTAATGCATTCTACAATATTTTATTATTTAGCCCCTGTTTGATTTCACTTCTAAAAAGTACTTCTTTTAACAAATACTTCTATTAAGAGTTGGGACCACACATTAAGTGATTTTATGTATTTGGTAAAAAAAGTGGGGAAGAAGTACTTTTTGTTAAAAGAAGCACTTCTTAAAAAAGTGACATGTTGGCTTTTCTTTTTCAGTACTTCTTGGAAAAGTACTTCTTCCAATAGAATGGGACAAACCAATCCCTGGTATTTTTTTAATACCCAAAATACCCCCGCACGAGGGTTTTACCTCCCTCTTCTCTCATTCAAACATAAGGAACCAAGTAGCGGTGCACCCAATTACAGGTCCACCGGCAACGATCGACGATGAGGAAAAATGGTCAGAGGACTTGTCGTTTTGCCATTTTCTTACATTTTGTAAAGTTTTTCTTTATACTAAGCCATTTTCTTGGGTTTTCTTAAACTTGAAACTCCCCTATTTGATGTGTTCGCAGATTTGCAATTTGAAAGAGTTTAACGGCGACAATCTTACCGTCCAGCCACTGATGACAAGGAGGTTAGTTTGCCAACTCCTCCCCTCCATGTTTGGTGTTTTTTTTTTTTGGTTTTTTTGTATGATTATTTGTCCTATTTTGGTTTCATATATGAGAAATCCAATTTTTTTTGTTAAAAATCATGCAAAAAAAATTGCTGAAGTTGGATGAATATTTGATTGCATTTTGATGTTTGAATATTTGTGATGGTTTTATTTTTTTTTAACTTCTGATTAATTTTTCATTAAATCCAAAATATTTGTGATGTTTTATTTTATTTTTCTTTAAATTCTCATTGGTATTGGTGATATTTTTTGTGATTTTTTTTGAATAATCCAAATTTTAATTTGTTTCATTATCCCATTTTATTTTTTTTAAACAGGATATTGATGTTTTTTCTATATTTTCTTAAATAATCAAAATTTCATTTTTTGATTTATTATTAACATGTATACTTAATATTATCCTATTTTATTTTTCTTTAAATTCTCATTGGTGTTGGTGATTTGTTTTGTGTTTTTTTTAATAATATTATCCTATTCAATATTTGTTAAATTATTATTATTGTTATTTATCAACATTATTCATTATTTATTATTATTATTGTTATTATTATTATTATTATTATTATTATTATTATTATTATTATTATTATTATTATTATTTATTTGTTATTATTTGTTGTTATTGTTGTTATTTGGGTCTACATGGCATTTCACGTATAGGTCCACGTGGGCTCTTAATTGTCATGATGTGGTGTTTTTCATTGAAATGTATAGTATAATATGTGAAAAACATTGTATATATGTATGAGTGAAGTGAGGGTTAAAATTGTCATTTGTGTCAATATATGCACTTATAAGGAAAGTAGCTTACCAAACATCCCCACCCCAATAAGTGATTTGACAAATGGACCACTAAACAGTCTTAAGTGGTTGTTAAAATAAGTACTTCTAAGTACTTGTACAACAAGTACTTCTTTTAACATCTTAATCCTCAAACAGGGCCTTAATCATTTTACCCACTAAAAATACAAAAGTTGTTTTGGTTAACAACTTCAACCATTATGACAACTGCTCCGCAATCAACAAAACAAACCAACCATCTTTTCTACAAACTAGAAGAGCCCATGTGAAAGATAATCATGTTTTATATTTTATAGGGTGTGATTACGGGGGTGTTCTGTATTGTAGATGAGTTTTTAAAACTGAATTGGATAGGGAATCGTTCTAGGACTGGTTCCCGGGTTGAACAGTCCAACTGTCTAGTTCAAATGGGCAACCTGCTCTAACTTAGCGGGTCGTTGACCAAAATTGTTGTCTATATCAACGGTTCAACCACTCAAGTCAGCAGGTCGTTGACCAAATCAACGATTTTTGGCCAAAAAGTGGTTTTAGCCTTTTAGAGTGAAACTGACTGGTTCCTAGGTTTTCTAGTCCGACCATCCTATCTGGTCTGATTTTGAAACCATGATTAAAACACATGTTGAAACCATTAATAATAATAATAATAATAATAATAATAATAATAATAATTAAAACACATGTTGTATGGGATCAATCTAGAAACAGTAATTAATAAAATAATATTATTAATAATTAGGATAAAACACATGTGTGGTTTTAGGGTAAAACACATTATTTGAGAGTAATGTGAAGCATGGGATCAATCTAGAAATAAATGTCCACGGTAGCATGAACCTGTCCACAAGAAATTGCCATGGACGATATTTTACCATGTGGTGTGGGCTGTTCCACAATATATTGTGGTTTGGTCCACATCACAATGCAACCAAACACTCAGAGAAAACATGGCGTGCTTCAACCTGCAATATATCGTGGTTGAGCCACAATTCTGAACACCACTTACATGTTTCAAAATAAAAGGGAAATTGAAACGGTTGTCATTAGCTAGTATCTTATTTTTTTATTTTTTTTAAATAAAAAGGTACAAAATTTGAAGGGGATAAGGATGCAAGAGGAGTAGGGTGACATGGACAATTGCATTCTAGAATATATTAGAAGGGACCCATGTGATGCACAAACTAGTGTTAAAAAAAATGTCATTTTGTCTCTTAACTGAATTGGTTGTGTGTGAGTTTGATTAGTTGTGGATGAGTTTAAAGAACCCAATATTTAACTTCTTATTTTTAAAATTGAAATAAAAACTATAAAATTCTAAAATGGTTGGGAATAGGGGTGCAAGCAAGTAAAGGTGTAAACGTGTGAATTTCTAAGCCAAATAAGTGGGTTTAATTTACATGTTAGCCCTCCCAAATTAATATGGGCCTCCATGAGCCTAGGGCCCAAGTCTATGTAAACATGGCCTATGGCCCAAGGATTCAAATGTACCAAGAGCAATTAGGCTCATGTCTTATTTTAATAGGATGGTTCCATTGGCAAGACTACTAACTCCTATATAATATAACACGACATCCCTAATCCTAGGCTATAAAATAACCTTGCTTAGGAAGAAAGCTCTCTCTCT